ACAAAATTAATGCCTAAAGCAAACCACAATATTATAGACTATCAGCTGAATAGATTATTTTTAATAACTTTAAAAGCTTAAAACCTATTGTTTTAGAAACTAAAAAATAAAAAATCCAACATTACGAATCCAACATTACAAATCGGCAATTCCAACAATATTACAAATATAAAATACGACAAATCCAACATTACAAATAGAAAATACTTACATGTACAAAAAAATATGATCAATTCTCTACATCTTCAATATCCATTAATTGGAAACGGAAAAGTGAAACCTAACCTATTCCTAAAATTAGAAAATCTATTTCACATATATATTTTATATTAAATATATGTTTTTTACATAAATGTATAATCGGGGCCCCCGCGGGAGTACGGGATGGAAATACCGACTCACGACCCTGGTCCCGAAAACAAACGGGGTTTAAATTTGCCTCGACCCCACTCCTGCTCCAGGTTTTTTAAAAAACATAGTCCCGTACAGTATCGAGGTCCCACAGGAATGGGATCTCACGGGGCTTTTTGATATCCGTATGTACATCCACGATGTTCCAGTAGAGTTAGTGTTCCACCTGTGTTATATGTTTTTCATATAACAATTGAAAGGTGATACGTTTATCAATGATACTACCACGATAAATTTGGATGAACCTAATAACTACAAAAAATGCATGACGAGCCAAGAGGCTACAAAGTAGAAAGAGGCGATAGACAGCAAGATTCAGTCCATGTATGATAATCACGTTTGGAACTTGGTTGAAAATGTACCAATGGTAACACGGTCGAGTGCAAATGGATCTTCAAGAAGAAGACTGACATGAATGGGAAAGGACAAACATATAAAGCACGACTGTTTACGAAGGGTTTTACTCAAACTCCTAGAGTTGACTATGATGAGACCTTCTCACCAGTAGCGACGATCCAATCTATAAGGGTTATGCTAGCCATAACTGTGTTTCATGATTATGAAATATGGTAAATGGATGTCAAAACCGCTTTCCTTAACGGGAAATTGGTTGAAGACGTTTACATATGTCAGCCAGAGGGTCTTGTGGATGCAAAGTACCCTAATAGAGTTGAATCTTTGCTTTAATGAGAAAGTCAAAGAGTTTGATTTTTCGAGAAGTGAGGATGAGTCGTGCATATTTGTCATGGCTAGCGGGAGTATAGTTAGCTTTATGGTATTGTATGTGGATGACATACTGTTTATAGGAAATGGTGTTCCAACCTTCCAGGAATTTAAGTCCTGGATTGGGAAGTGTTTCGCTATGAAGGACCTCAAGGAAGTTGCTTACCTTCTAGGGATAAGGATATTGAAAAATAGGAGTGAAAGACTAATAGGACGTAGTTAAAGTACCTACTTGGACAAGGTGTTGAAAAGTTGCAAAATGGAGAATTCCAAGAAAGGAGAATTTCCTATCCAGAGCAATACAAAACTGAGTAAGACTCAGATTCCAAGTATCGATGCCATAATAGCATAAATGAGTCAAGTACCATATGCTTCTTCCGTTGGCTCGATCGTGTATTCTATGACATGTACTCGCCCTGATTTTGTTTTTGCTTTGAGAATGGTTAGTCGGTATCAAGGGAATCCTGGTAGAACTCATTGGATAGAAGTAAAGAATGTTCTTAAGTACCTGCGGAGGACTAAGGACTAGGTCCTTACCCTCGGTGGGAGTGATGACTTCAGAGTGATAATGCATAGTGATGCCAACTTTCAGATTGACAGTGATGATATCTGCTCTTAATCAGGCTGGGTAGTTACCCTAAATGGAGGGGCAGTGACATGGAAAAGTTCCAAACATGAGACTACATTTGATTCAATGTGTGAATCGGAGTACATAGCAACAAGTGAAGTGTCGAAGGAGGCAATATGGCTAAAGAACTTCATTGGAGACCTTGGAGTTTTACCACCTATAAAGGAGCCTATGGAGATTTTTTGTGACAACGAGGGTGTTGTCACCTTAACCAAGGAACCGAGGGATCATGGCAGATCCAGGCAAATTGAAAGAAAATATCACTTCATAAGACATCGAGTAGAAGAGGGACTTCTCGTAGTGTAGGGTTAAGCATTTGCAACATGCTAAGACCATTGGCCTAAGAGATGATATTAGTTTTAGTAACTAGATAGGGAGTTAGAAACTTGTAATAAAGAAATGTAATTAATATCTTATGATTAAATAATAAGTGTTTTTTTTATATGTAAAGCTTACTGTCTTCTGTCAATTGTTTATTTATGTTTCTTTGAAATGTTTTGACTTCCAGAATAATATGATTATTCAAACTATCCACATTCAATCATAGTTTGGAAGTAAGCTATGAGGTTAGACTATCATGAATTGGCTTGTGGATTATCTAAAGTGTTTAGACTTAGCAAAGGTTTCTACAACATTCATGAGTGCTCCTAAAATTAGATTTGAGTATTGGATTAAACGCACGCTCACGTGAATCACTTCATGAAATTTGTGACGAGTGATTGTGAGACGATAATATCGTATAGTATTTAAACAAAGATATACTAGTTGTTGATTACGAGTTTGTTGTGCATTGATAGTACAAAAACGCATCAGTAACTTGATGTTATAAAACGTGTTTGTGACATCCCATTTTCATGGAAAGAAAAAACTGATTTCGTTTACTCTTTTATAATAAAATCAGAATAATCTTTCAATTAAAAGTAATATGGAATTTCTTCCCAAAACAAAATATGATAAAATTTATCAAAGCTTTTCTTAATGAAATCTATTTTCAGTTCATTACAAACTTGGGATGTCAACATCGATACAAATAAAAAGCATAAATAGTACGATATAGGCCTTACAACATATATTTACATCTACTGGCCTGTAATCCAAAATCCCTCGTCATCATCCAACTATGCTCTTGTTCCACTACCTGTAATATAGAAAGTTGAGTGGGTTAGGCTTGGGAGCCTGGTGTATAGGATTTTCAACCCACAATAAATAAATTTTTTAATTTCATCAACCAACAATAAATTTATTAATTTCGTCAACCAACAATAACCCTGATTACCCATTCACGTTATCCTCTTTTTACGTCCCTAAAAAACTATCATAAGGGACCTAGCATAAGGATCATCATCAGGATGGACAATATTGCTAAGGGGATTCCTCAGCTATATATGTTCATAAGGCAACCATGAGTGGGATGGAGTACACCGGTGAACACATCGTTCACAAACACCTACAGGTTGTGAGCTTGCTAGCGTTCCACTAGACTGTCTAGCATGGGCTGTGGTCGTCATCTATACTCCGCTAGATATCTGGAACATCGACAACATCGAGGCCTCTCATCATTTTATTTCATCACAAATCAACTATTGCATCTACCAATGTTTTACGCAACATATTTGTAGACGAAAATACATATATAGTTTAATTCATTTTAAAACTGTATAAAACATTCATGCAACATCCATCTTAAATAAAAAATCAAACAATATATATACACATAGCGCACATTTTATATAAAATACTCCATATCTATGTCTAAAATGAAAGTGACTATACACTCACATGACAAGATGGTGATTGTGTCACACCCCGAAACCGATGGCGGAAACGTTCCGGGGCGGATGACGTCAGGTAAGTATCACAACCAATGTACATAGTAAGCATAGTAAAAACGGAACGTTACATTACATATGAATACTTACATTTGTTTAAAAGTAAAGCGATACATGTTTTAACTGCACATTAGTTTGAAGAAAAGTAAACACACGACTTCTAAAATGCTTCATCTTCTCCAAAAGATTGCGGGTACGTGTCCAATGTGGACCTGAGAATACAAGCAGTTTGAAAATCAGTATAAAGCTGGTGAGTTCATAAGAGGTTTGTTTTCTGAAAATGTGCAAGTTTCCTTTGGTTTCTGAAAAAGTTTGTTATCCAAGAAAATCCCATATTTTCTTATAAGTAAAGTTTGGTTATCGGTTAGTTATATGATCTGGTTATGTACAGTTTGTTATCCGAGGAAAAACCCTTATTTTCCTTAAAAGTTTGTAATCGGTTATCGGGTTTGAAAGTAATGTACAAGTATTTGCCATACTTTATGTGTTTGAGTGAAGTTTCCTGAAAACCTAGTTATCCTTGAAAAGTACATTAGTTTTAACACGTATATAAAACTAATAAGTAAGTATAAAAGAATCCATAATCTAAATTATGAGTTCCATAACCATACAATAGACTAGATAAGGCTCGAAACAGGGCCGGTATCATTTTTATGACTTTTGTCACCCTTGAACCTTTTGGTTCGACTGTAGCTAGCATCCAGGTGCGGGGTTGTCAATCTCATATAGATTTATACACTCAAGTCACGCTCTCCCTCCACGAGATTCTGGTTACGGGGGTAGTCCTACACTCTCGTAACTAGGGGGAGTGTTAACAAGGATGTGTCTCCAATCATAAGATTAATGAATTTTAAAAGTAGT